GAAGGAGGCGGCCTGTTGAATGTCTTCCCACCCGCTCCTTTTTCTCTGGGACCCTCTCTGTGTTCTTTGCCCAGCCCCAGCCCCCCGCCAGGGGAGAGAGTGGAGCAGGAAGGGCCCGATAGCCAGCCAGACCGCTCCTCTGTTGAAGGAGCCTTATCTCAGAACTGCACACAGTGCACCGAGCGCATCCTTTTCCTGGGGTTCTGGGAGGAGGAGGAGGAGGAGGAGTAGAAGACTGGATATAGGTGTGTTCTCTAGCCCTCCACTTGTCAACCCCACTGTTCTAGCCTGGGACTGCCTTTTTCAGTCATTGTCTTGTTCCAGCAATTATGTAAACCGATTTAATCAATTGTTAAATCCTGTTTTGAGATACAGGTAGTAGCTTCATTCAGATCCTTGAAAAGTGCATCCAGCATTGCAGAAATAAGCTCTTCTCAGTAAAAAAAACAGTGTGGTGTGGATGTCGTTAGGTTACATTTCTATTTGTTCTTTTAACAAGAGCATTGTAAGAAAAGTGTCCTCCTAAAGCATTTTTGGCATGGGACCAGTATTACTTCACTTGTGTGAACTGTAGATTTGGCTATAATTCAAAACCATCTGTAGCTTCTTATTAAAAGCCCTAAATTATGGCTGTGGAACTTTTTCAAAGTAAAAAAAACAAAACAAAGGAAAGGTTAAATTCATAATTCTTATTCACCATTGCCCGGTCTGGTATGAGCATAGTTAATGTTGGCTCGTTGCAGATAAAATTCATACAGAGGTTGTGACTGATAACGGGCCAGAGAAACAACACACACCTGAAAAAGTGAAATAAGATCTCAAACATTGCTGTTGTGTTGTTTCTTAGTAACATGTTGCCCTCAGCACTGCCCAACAAAAATCTCCAGGGCTGCGAGTGATGTTGACTGGATCTGTAGGTTTACATGTATACTCTGTGTACAGCCCGTGTCAGCACAGCACTTTCCCCCTGTCAGATCAGACTCTAATGGAGATCCCTAGGCAGTGAAGACGAAGCACATGCCAAGCTCCAGCCACTTTTCCCTGATGAAGATGATGTTTCTCTCTGTCACTCTCCTCTTTTTCCCCTCGCTCATTCACCCTCTCCCCCTCTAGAGAGTAATTTCACAGGCAGTTCTAAAGTGGCCCCGGGCCATCTTCCCAAATCCCAGTTACATGTTGTTTGGCACTGTCAGTTCTAAGCCCCATCTCCATTCACAGAACAGAGAGGATCCATTGTGCAGTAACAGGGAGTATAGATTTTCTCTGGGAAGTTGGAAAGTTTTGTTTAATGGCACCTCACCTGAAGGGCCTTATCCCCCTTGTTTAGAAGTTGGGCTGCTTTCTAGTTGAGGTCTGTGGTGGCAGGAAACTTTGCGGTCCATTTGAACTCGTCCTTCCTCGTCATTTAGCCCCAGTCATATGCTTCATGCTGTTGGGGCTCTGAAGTTATCTACTTTTAGATATATAATACTTTTCTGTTCTGTTTTGCTCAGTGCCAGGGTAGCTATGGATCTGCTCACTGAATTGGAGGCTACTTCTAACTTGGCATTAAGTATACCGATATATTACAGCTCAATAAGCATGGTTATGTAATTCATGTATTTGTTGGGGGCATAGTGTAATACTACTGTAGGCTGTATGATATGATTACACATACAGTAGTATTGGAATATGCCTAAAATAAAATTTATTTCCTAGATCATAACAAAACAGAGCACTCTTTGGACATATTAAATATTCAGTTTTATTTCTATAGTGCCAAAACACAACAAAACCATCTCCTTTAGCATGCACTTGGTGACAGCAGGGAGGAAAAACTCCCTTTAACAGAAGAAACCTCAGACAGACCCCGGCTCTGGGTGGGCGGCCTTCTGCCTCGACCGGTTGGGGTGAGTGGATAGAGGAGAGAGAAAAGGATTCGAAAAGCAGCAAGTCACAAACCCTGAGCAAGTTGTTGTGTCTGATGTCATCAGACACGTTAAGCTCCAGAGCCAGAGCTGCCTGCAGAAATGTAGAGGGAGAGAAGACGTGCAAAGTTAATGACATGAAATGGTGGCATATAAATGTATGGAGAGTAAGGAGAGAGGAGATTAACCCAGAGCATAATGGGAGGGCCCCTAGCAGTCTTACAGCAATCTACGGCTTTCTTTGAGAGTCCTTTGTCTGCGATAGTGTTTCAGTTGGTCTTCACTAATTACGTAACTGTGTTTATTATTGAGCAGTAATATTGCCAAGTTACGAGCAGATCCATAGCAACGTGGCATAGCGGTGGGCAAAGCCTATTGAAAAAGTGCAAAATGTATTGCAGGGAAATGCAAAGTAGATCAGCGAAAACCTCAGCACCATGACCTTTAGGGGGCTTTGTACTAAAAAGAGAAATCAACTTTTTTTTTTACTGTATTTGTCAATACATTAGGCCACAAAAACAATGGCCGTTTCCCTTATGGAAATGTATTGACTTTTATTGGGTTATGACAAATGGCTTGCAGGCTTGTAGGGATTTAATAAACTTGCCTCGCCTTTTACAGAACTCCCTGGTGGTTAGTTTAAGAGAAACGACACTTTCCAAGGTAAATATGCTGGGAAACCACATTATTAGCCAAAACCAGATATACTGTACTTAAAAGATGAAGCTGGTGATTTTGGTTTTTCCACAAATCCCACAAAGATTAAAGCAACCATGAATTTCATGTAATCATCATGTCAGTAAATCTAAGCCCTGGTTTAACTTGCTGGTCTTTGCTGCGCTGCACCGGGTGACTCTCTCAAAAAAAAAATAAAAGAAAATCTGAGGCTTTTTAAACAGTCTCTGAAGTAAGAGAGTTAATCATGCATGATCTCTCTCTGTTTATACTACTCCACTAGCTTCTCACATCAAGTGTAGTGCAAATTGTTCTTAGCGTTTTGGACCTTTTGAAGCTCTTTTTCTGAAATAAGATGAGCCTAGTATTTTTCTTGAATAAGAAATGTCACCCATTACTGAGCCACATGAATGCACTGTGTTTTTATTAGTTTTGGACAACAGTGGAGAGTTTCTGTATGAGATTATGGAAAAGGAGAAAAAAGCTTGTCTATCTCAGTCAGCATAGAGGGTCAGAGTAGTGTAATCTGTCTGTAAAAGTTTAAAGGCTAAACCTTGAGGTGACTCGACACAGCAGTGTCTTTCAGTTTATCTCTGATCTAGGGTTTGAAAAAGTCTTGTTCACTTCGCCGATCTCTGAGGTAATACACAGAGCAGCAGTATTGTTTAGTGTGATTCTCAAGCTTATTCTTATTCTTCTAGACCAATCATTATGCATTGAGTAGGCAATTAGGAAAATGAAGACAAATGGGTCACAGAGGTGAGGTGACAAATTGTTCATGCTGTATAGTTGAAACCTAGACAATGTTGTACCTCACAGTTGCAAAGTTGTCCCTGTTTAATGTGTAGCCCCAGGGTTGGGGAGATGAATTGGTGACTAGACGGAGTCCTGTCCCAGACCAGAAACAATTTAACCAAAACAAATGACTAAGTGCTGCTTTTTCCTCTTTTTTTTTTTTTAGCTTTTGTCAGAGTAGGAATCACCGCCAGAGCAGCTTCCCCTTTGATCCCAGATTCAAGAGAATTAAAAGTAATTTGACAACACTACGAAGCGTGACTAGATCCATAATCGACACCACTGACAGTCTAAGCAAAACCAAACCAAATGCCAAATTTTAGTTTACTACAGGATTGTTGAAGGGGTAGCTGTTGCTTTCCCCAATAAGGGTTTTCCATTAAAGAGCATCGTTTATGCTAAAGCTTAGCAACATAGCTGCAAACATAAATGTTGTCATTTGACTGTCCATCTAGCCCAAAGCTGACAGCTGTGCGATCACTGGCAGCAGCCATGGCCATTGTGGAAAATGTCTTCTGGCTGGGCACATAAAAGCAGACATCGCTGTGTGTATGTTATTTATATATACACACCGATCAGGCACAACATTATGACCACCTGTACATCTGTATGCACTTCAACGTAATACTTCTGCCTTAACATTGCCATAGATAAAGTGGGGTTATACTGGACTACATTATATTCAGAGGCGTCTGTACGTTTTTGTCCTACCCCTAGACATGAGAGGGTCAGAATATTAGGAATGCCTTTTGAATATGTGTGAATTTATATGCACGTGTATGCATATATGTAATGAATGCAGATATATGTGTGTGTGTGTATATATATATATATATACACACATACATACATACATACATACTTTTTTTTAGGTATTTGTACAATTGTATGCAATTTAATGCAAAACATCTGCCTTAACATCTGTGTTTAGGAAGTTGGTATTGTCAAATGTGTAAATTTAGTTATGTTTTTTTTTTTTACTGAGGTCAGTTAAAGGTGGTGGTGTCCTGGACTACATTATATTCAGAGGTGTTCCTAATATTCTGACTGTCATATGTAGCCAGAAAGGACAAAAATATAGACACCTTTAAATATAATGTAGTCCATTACACCACCACCTTTAACTGTGACCTCAATAATAAACATATAAACCCAGATGTGAAGGTGAAAGTGTTGCATGCAATTATACAGGTGATCGGTGAGTGTGCATCTAAAGTGAAAAGAAACAAATACTAGAGCACATGTTAAATTTACTAGTCACTGTTATGACGCAAACTGAAAAATTGCTACAGCACACTATCAACGCTTCAGCCCTTTTTGTGCAAATAGCTGTTTCTGTCAAACTGCAGTGTGTATTTAATTCTGGTCAGAAACATCAAGTCTCAGCTGTAATTTGCTTACTCGTTAAAGAGCCACTGCAGAGGGATGGCAAGGGGACACAGCTGGATGTGTGGAACCTACATTGTGTTATAAGAGAAAGATGATAACGGTTAGGTCTGTGATGCTTATTTTAAGGTGATCTTTTAACACCTATTGTTGCATCAACATCCTATTGTGTGAAGATACTCAAACGCTGCATTAAAGTCTGATTATTGTGTTATCATTTTTGTGTTTTTGGTCTAGGAGAGCAACAGCAGTGATTCTCAGGGTGAGACAGAGGAGAATGCGATTCCTGCTACTTCTGACCCGGACACATCCAAGACTGTGACGAGTACTCTCACTATGCAGGAGTATTTTGCACAGAGAATGGCTCAGCTGAAGAAGGCTCGGGGACAGGTACAGAATCGTGCATCGACAGTGGCAGAGAACGAGGAACCCAGTCCCACCCACAGCAGCAACGATGATACAGACGAGCCCAAAAAGAAAAGGAAGAAGAAAAAGGCTGTGGATAAGGTAGAAGTAATAAAAGAGAACTGTACTGCTCCCGTTGTAGTGGAGGACAATGGGAACCAGCCATTGGAACATTCAATGAAGAAGAAGAAGAAAAAGAGGAAAATGGCAGGAAATGAAGATAGGATGAGTGAGAACTGGAGTTTCACCTCAGGAATCGAGCATAACTGTGAGGACCTGCCTTCTTCCAAAAAGAAAAAGCCCAGGAAAGAAACCAAGGTGCTAAATGGACATGGGCCAACTGAGGACTCTGAGGTTGTACAGAAAAAGAAGAAGAAACACAGAGAGGTGGCCAGTGTTGTAGAAGATGACCAAGAGGAGCTGGTAGAGAAGAAGTCCAAAAAGAACAAGAAAAAGAGATGTCAAAAATAGTGTGGTTAAGGTTAAAGTTGAGTTCTTCAGGGTGTAGCTGGACTTTCAACCTTTATGCTATTAACCTGGAGGCTCACATGTATGGAGTAGATGCCTTTACGAGCTACTCAAACGTCTTATGGACAACCTCATTACTTGCACTACCAGTCAAAAGGTTTGGACACATCTTCCCAATGAATTCATGTGGCAAGTGTGTCAAAAGGTTCAACTGGTAGCGTATTCAGGAAGAACACTGCTACAGTTAGGAGAAAAGAGAGGTTAGCCATTTGACCACGTTAAAACCTTGACGATGACTAGTAAACAACTTTCACTAGTGGATACGGTGATACACCTTTGCTCCTGCAGATGCTAAAATGGTTTTTTTTTTTTAGATCAATACCACTCAACATGCTGCATCTGTACAGCAACTCCTATAAAACCACAGCATGCCGTCTTACACTTTCGCTTCGGCGAGGATCAAACAAACAAGATAGTGTTAACTGCAGAGGTACTACGAGGGTGATTTGGTACCACGGATAGAGCCGGGGTGACAGTTTTCCAGTCTTTGTGCTAACCTAAGCTAACAACTAGTTGTAGCTTCACATTAGCTGTACAGATGCATCAATGTTACCAGTCTTCCTGTACCAACTTTGGGCCTGAACCAAATTATCCTATTCCCCAAAATATTTAACTAAAGGATAAAGCTGGTCACTTTTTATATTAATAGTATTTTCAACAATCACCATTCAGAGACTAAATTACCTCTACTCACGGTTAGTGTCTGTCAGTCTCCACCCTGGATCATTGTCTATGCAATAGACCACTGTTGTTTAAAAACATCAGTGAAACCCACCACTGCACTGGGTGACTCCCCCACCTTATTGCAAAACACCAGAGCCAAATATTTGTTAAAAACATTGCTCCAAATGACCATGACTTTTTACAGCGTCTGAAGTAGCAACTGCACAAGCACGAGATCTCCGTGCGAACTGTGAAAAGTTATGGTCGTTTGGAGCTTTTGGGGCAACAGTTTTGACAAATATGTGGGTCTGGTGTTATGTAATAAAAAAAAGATGTCACCCAGTGCATTGGTGTGACTCACTGCTGTGTTTTTAAACAACAGAACTCTATAGAACAAGCTGTTCCAGGTTTGAGACTGAGACGTGAACAGTGAGTAGAGGCTATTCATCGCTGGCTTTAGTCCCTGTATAGGGAGTGTTAAAGTATAAATATAGAAAATGACCAACCTTATTTATTCTATTTAATGTCTTTGACTGTCTCATATATTAATACAGCCATCAGAATGTAAATTATTTTAAACAACCTTCTTGGAAATGAGATGATACTTATGTTTTACTGTATAAAGTGTCATTTTTCCCATACACGTCCCTACTATACTACCAGTTAGTTTAGAATACCTGAATAGTCTCCGATGTTTTTGTGAACAGATGTAATTGAATGGTGTTTTGCCTGGTCTGTCTCTCTCATCTGGTACATTCATGAGCTGTAAGGGGGGAAAAAATGAATTAAATCCTTTTTTCCAATTAAACAAATGGTCATGCATTTATTTTTTCTGCCACATATATACAAAATCTAAGTGAATATACAGAAATTGTAGGAGAGTGTTGAGGAGATGTACTGATCTGCTGTCTCTAGATCCAAACATACATGGCTTTCCTCTATGCACATGAGGTTATGAAATCATAACAAGTCAGTCTTGTTCAGCACTAGGAGTGGGTGGTATGAGTCAAACGAGGAAGAACAAAACTAGAGCTATCTAGTCTTACAAGGAATGCCTTGTTAGTGATGTTACTATTTAGAAATTATGAAACTACTTACTGCAGACTTCTCACATGTGGAGGTGTTTTACCCTCTGGCTGTCATCAGGGGTACAACTTCAGGAACGTCACGCTTTGGGATGGATCACGGACTTTGAATCACAGATCGGCTCATTTCCGCATCTGAAAACAAAACGACACGAGGCCAGAGTTTCAATAAAAATCTTCAGTGAATTAACCTAACAGAGTAGCTTTTGAGCCTGAAGGTAATAAAACTATGTTTCATAACTGAAACGGTATTTGTAGTTACCTGAGCTGTATTGGAAGCCCAGTTAGTTCAACATATGGGCAAAATGCAGCTACTTCCTGAGTGGATATGGTCAGGGCAAGATGGTTGTGTTGGGGCGATAAGACACTACCTTAAATAAATTACTCCTTTGTGCATGGGTAGAATAAATCGGGTGGTGAAAGTCCATAAAACTTGCCAGTGCGATCTGTTGCCATGAACACATGACTTGTCTATTTTTTCCCACTGTATTGAGAATTCTTACTTTAAAAGTCCTAAAA